TAACCAATATTATCTTGTTTGGAAGAATTTATTTTAGAGATTATGACATATTTTAAGTTGAACCAAGCTATAACTTCTATTTGGTAAAACAAAGAAAGTTTAAAAATACTTTATTTTGAAACGCTACCCAAAGTAGCATTTAAAATGAGATGAAAATTGAATTTTCAACTACTTACGAGGGTTTATGGGTATATAAATGAAAATTTTAACCACTTATGGATTCAACAAATATACAAATATGACAAAATTAGTAAATCAAATTTTTAACCACTTACGAGACGAAGAAAATACAACTTTGATAATGTTACAATTTCATTCACCGTCTGTGGGGATCAAACCAACAACCACGTGGTTAAAAGCCACGCGCTCTACCACTGAGCTAAGAAGGCCAACTCAATTATATACATGTATAATGTGAGAGAGGATATTGGATATAACCAATATTATCTTGTTTGGAAGAATTTATTTAGGGATTATGACATATTTTAAGTTGAAACCAGCTATAACTTCTATTTGGTAAAACAAGAAAGTTTAAAATAATAGTTTACTTTGAAACGCTACCCAAAGTAGCATTTAAAATGAGATGAAAATTGAATTTTCAACTACTTACGAGGGTTTATGGTATATAAATGAAAATTTTACCACTTATGGATTCAACAAATATACAAATATGAAAAAATTAATATAAATCAAATTTTTAACCACTTACGAGATCAAGAAAATACACTTTTTAAAAACTACAATTTCAATCACCGTCTGTGGGGATGAACCACGACCACGTGGTTAAAAGCCACGCTCTACCACTGAGCTAAGAAGGACTCAATAATATGCATGTATATAGTGAGAGAGGATATTGGATATAAACCAATATATCTTGTTTGGAAGAATTTATTTTAGAGATTATGACATATTTTAAGTTGAAACCAAGCTATAACTTCTATTTGGTAAAACAAAGAAAGTTTTAAATAATAGTTTACTTTGAAACGCTACCCAAAGTAGCATTTAAAATGAGATGAAAATTGAATTTTCAACTACTTACGAGCGGTTTATGGGTATATAAATGAAAATTTTAACCACTTATGGATTCAACAAATATACAAATATGAAAAAATTAATATAAATCAAATTTTTAACCACTTACGAGATCAAGAAAATACAACTTTGTTAAACCTACAATTTCAATCACCGTCTGTGGGGATCAAACCCACGACCACGTGGTTAAAAGCCACGCGCTCTACCACTGAGCTAAGAAGGCCTACTCAATAATATGCATATATAGTTAGGAGAGGATATTGGATATAATCCAATATTATCTTGTTTGGTAGAATTTATTTTAGAGATTATGACATATTTTAAGTTGAATCCAAGCTATAACTTCTATTTGGTAAAACAAAGAAAGTTTAAAATACTAGTTAATTTGAAACGCTACCTAAGTAGCATTTAAAATGAGATGAAAATTGAATTTTCAACTACTTACGAGAGGGTTTATGGTATATAAATAAAAATTTTAACCACTTATGGATTCAACAAATATAAATATGACAAAATTAGTATGAATCAAATTTTTAACCACTTACGAGACAAGAAAATACAACTTTGATATGTTACAATTTCATCACCGTCTGTGGGGATCAAACCAACAACCACGTGGTTAAAAGCCACGCGCTCTACCACTGAGCTAAGAAGGCCAACTCAATTATATACATGTATAATGTGGAGAGGATATTGGATATAAACCAATATTTATCTTGTTTGGAAGAATTTATTTTAGGGGTTATGACATATTTTAAGTTGAAACCAGCTATAACTTCTATTTGGTAAAACAATGAAAGTTTTAAATAATAGTTTACTTTGAAACGCTACCCAAAGTAGCATTTAAAATGAGATGAAAATTAAATTTTCAACTACTTACGAGCGGTTTATGTGTATATAAATGAAAATTTTACCACTTATGGATTCAACAAATATACAAATATGAAAAATTAATATAAATCAAATTTTTAACCACTTACGAGATCAAGAAAATACAACTTTGTTAAACCTACAATTTCAATCACCGTCTGTGGGGATCGAACCACAACCACGTGGTTAAAAGCCACGCGCTCTACCACTGATAAGAAGGCCTACTCAATAATATGCATATATAGTTTAGGAGAGGATATTGGATATAACCAATATTATCTTGTTTGGTAGAATTTATTTTAGAGATTATGACATATTTTAAGTTGAACCAAGCTATAACTTCTATTTGGTAAAACAAAGAAAGTTTAAAATACTAGTTAATTTTGAAACGCTACCCTAAGTAGCATTTAAAATGAGATGAAAATTGAATTTTCAACTACTTACGAGGGTTTATGGGTATATAAATAAAAATTTTAACCACTTATGGATTCAACAAATATAGAAAATATGACAAAATTAATATAAATCAAATTTTTAACCACTTACGAGATCAAGAAAATACAACTTTGTTAAACCTACAATTTCAATCACCGTCTGTGGGGATCGAACCACAACCACGTGGTTAAAAGCCACGCTCTACCACTGAGCTAAGAAGGCCAACTCAATAATATGCATATATAGTTTAGGAGAGGATATTGGATATAAACCAATATTATCTTGTTTGGAAGAATTTATTTTAGAGATTATGACATATTTTAAGTTGAACCAAGCTATAACTTCTATTTGGTAAAACAAAGAAAGTTTAAAATATAGTTTAATTTTGAAACGCTACCCAAAGTAGCATTTAAAATGAGATGAAAATTGAATTTTCAACTACTTACGAGAGGGTTTATGGTATATAAATAAAATTTTAACACTTATGGATTCAACAAATATACAAATATGACAAAATTAATATAAATCAAATTTTTAACCACTTACGAGATCAAGAAAATACAACTTTGTTAAACCTACAATTTCAATCACCGTCTGTGGGGATCGAAACCACGACCACGTGGTTAAAAGCCACGCTCTACCACTGAGCTAAGAAGGCCTACTCAATAATATGCGTATATAGTTTAGGAGAGGATATTGGATATAATCCAATATTATCTTGTTTGGAAGAATTTATTTTAGAGATTATGACATATTTTAAGTTGAATCCAAGCTATAACTTCTATTTGGTAAAACAAAGAAAGTTTAAAATACTAGTTAATTTAGTATGATTCAAATTTTTAACCACTTACGAGACGAAGAAAATACAACTTTGATAGTGTTACAATTTCATTCACCGTCTGAGGGGATCAAACCAATAACCACGTGGTTAAAAGCCACGCGCTCTACCACTGAGCTAAGAAGGCCAACTCAATTATATACAAGTATAATGTGGGAGAGGATATTGGATATAAACCAATATTTATCTTGTTTGGAAGAATTTATTTTAGGGTTATGACATATTTTAAGTTGAAACCATGCTATAACTTCTATTTGGTAAAACAATAAAAGTTTTAAATAATAGTTTACGTTGAAACGCTACCCAAAGTAGCATTTAAAATGAGATGAAAATTGAATTTTCAACTACTTACGAGCGGGTTTATGGGTATATAAATAAAAATTTTAACCACTTATGGATTCAACAAATATACAAATATGAAAAAATTAATATAAATCAAATTTTTAACCACTTACGAGATCAAAGAAAATACAACTTTGTTAAACCTACAATTTCAATCACCGTCTGTGGGATTGAACCCACGACCACGTGGTTAAAAGCCACACGCTGTACCACTGAGCTAAGAAGGCCTACTCAAAATATGCATGTATAGTTGAAGAGAGGATGTTGGATATAAACCAATATATATCTTGTTTGGAAGAATTTATTTTAGAGATTATGACATATTTTAAGTTGAAACCAAGCTATAACTTCTATTTGGTAAAATAAAGAAAGTTTAAAATTATAGTTTACTTTGAAACGCTACCAAAGTTGCATTTAAAATGAGATGAAAATTGAATTTTCAACTACTTACGAGCGGGTTCATGGGTATATAAATGAAAATTTTAACCACTTATGGATTCAACAAATATACAAATATGACAAAATTAATATAAATCAAATTTTTTAACCACTTACGAGATCAAGAAAATACAACTTCGTTAAACCTACAATTTCAATCACCGTCTGTGGGGATCGAACCCACAACCACGTGGTTAAAAGCCACGCGCTCTACCACTGAGCTAAGAAGGCCTACTCAATAATATGCATATATAGTTTAGGAGAGGATATTGGATATAATCCAATATTTCCTTGTTTGGTAGAATTTATTTTAGAGATTATGACATATTTTAAGTTGAATCCATGCTATAACTTCTATTTGGTAAAACAAAGAAAGTTTAAAATACTAGTTAATTTTGAAACGCTACCCTAAGTAGCATTTAAAATGAGATGAAAATTGAATTTTCAACTACTTACGAGAGGGTTTATGGGTATATAAATAAAAATTTTAACCACTTATGGATTCAACAAATTTAGAAATATGACAAAATTAGTATGAATCAAATTTTTAACCCCTTACGAGACGATGAAAATACAACTTTGATAATGTTACAATTTCATTCACCGTCTGTGGGGATCAAACCAACAACCACGTGGTTAAAAGCCACGCGCTCTACCACTGAGCTAAGAAGGCCAACTCAATTATATACATGTATAATGTGAGATAGGATATTGGATATAAACCAATATTTATCTTGTTTGGAAGAATTTATTTTAGGGGTTATGACATATTTTAAGTTGAAACCATGCTATAACTTCTATTTGGTAAAAACAATGAAAGTTTTAAATAATAGTTTATTTTGAAACGCTACCCAAAGTAGCATTTAAAATGAGATGAAAATTAAATTTTCAACTACTTACGAGCGGGTTTATGTGTATATAAATGAAAATTTTAGCCACTTATGGATTCAAGAAATATACAAATATGAAAAAATTTATATAAATCAAATTTTTAACCACCTACGAAATCAAGAAAATACAGCTTTGTTAAAACTACAATTTCAATCACCGTCTGTGGGGATTGAAGCCACGACCACGTGGTTAAAAGCCACGCGCTCTAACCACTAAGCTAAGAAGGCCTACTCAATAATATGCATGTATAGTTGAGGAGAGGATATTGGATATAAACCAATATATAAATTGTTTGGAAGAATTTATTTTAGAGATTATGACATATTTTAAGTTGAAACCAAGCTATAACTTCTATTTGGTAAAATAAAGAAAGTTTTAAATAATAGTTTTACGTTGAAACGCTACCCAAAGTAGCATTTAAAATGAGATGAAAATTGAATTTTCAACTACTTACGAGCGGGTTTATGGGTATATAAATGAAAATTTTAACCACTTATGGATTCAACAAATATACAAATATGACAAAATTAATATAAATCAAATTTGTAACCACTTACGAGATCAAGAAAATACAACTTTGTTAAACCTACAATTTCAATCACCGTCTGTGGGGATTGAACCCACGACCACGTGGTTAAAAGCCACACGCTGTACCACTGAGCTAAGAAAGCCTACTCAATAATATGCATGTATAGTTGAGGAGAGGATATTGGATATAAACCAATATATATCTTGTTTGGAAGAATTTATTTTAGAGATTATGACATATTTTAAGTTGAAACCAAGCTATAACTTCTATTTGGTAAAATAAAGAAAGTTTAAAATTATAGTTTACTTTGAAACGCTACCCAAAGTTGCATTTAAAATGAGATGAAAATTGAATTTTCAACTACTTACGAGCGGGTTCATGGGTATATAAACGAAAATTTTAACCACTTATGGATTCAACAAATATACAATTATGACAAAATTAATATAAATCAAATTTTTAACCACTTACGAGATCAAGAAAATACAACTTCGTTAAACCTACAATTTCAATCACCGTCTGTGGGGATCGAACCCACGACCACGTGGTTAAAAGCCACGCGCTCTACCACTGAGCTAAGAAGGCCTACTCAATAATATGCATATATAGTTTAGGAGAGGATATTGGATATAATCCAATATTTCCTTGTTTGGTAGAATTTATTTTAGAGATTATGACATATTTTAAGTTGAAACCAAGCTATAACTTCTATTTGGTAAAATAAAGAAAGTTTAAAATTATAGTTTACTTTGAAACGCTACCCAAAGTTGCATTTAAAATGAGATGAAAATTGAATTTTCAACTACTTACGAGCGGGTTCATGGGTATATAAATGAAAATTTTAACCACTTATGGATTCAACAAATATACAAATATGACAAAATTAATATAAATCAAATTTTTAACCACTTACGAGATCAAGAAAATACAACTACGTTAAACCTACAATTTCAATCACCGTCTGTGGGGATCGAACCCACGACCACGTGGTTAAAAGCCACGCGCTCTACCACTGAGCTAAGAAGGCCTACTCAATAATATGCATATATAGTTTAGGAGAGGATATTGGATATAATCCAATATTACCTTGTTTGGTAGAATTTATTTTAGAGAATATGACATATTTTAAGTTGAATCCATGCTATAACTTCTATTTGGTAAAACAAAGAAAGTTTAAAATACTAGTTAATTTTGAAACGCTACCCTAAGTAGCATTTAAAATGAGATGAAAATTGAATTTTCAACTACTTACAAGAGGGTTTATGGGTATATAAATAAAAATTTTAACCACTTATGGATTCACCAAATATAGAAATATGACAAAATTAGTATGAATCAAATTTTTAACCACTTACGAGACGAAGAAAATAAAACTTTGATAATGTTACAATTTCATTCACCGTCTGTGGGGATCAAACCAACAACCACGTGGTTAAAAGCCACGCGCTCTACCACTGAGCTAAGAAGGCCAACTCAATTATATACATGTATAATGTGAGATAGGATATTGGATATAAACCAATATTTATCTTGTTTGGAAGAATTTATTTTAGGGGTTATGACATATTTTAAGTTGAAACCATGCTATAACTTCTATTTGGTAAAACAATGAAAGTTTTAAATAATAGTTTATTTTGAAACGCTACCCAAAGTAGCATTTAAAATGAGATGAAAATTAAATTTTCAACTACTTACGAGCGGGTTTATGTGTATATAAATGAAAATTTTAGCCACTTATGGATTCAAGAAATATACAAATATGAAAAAATTTATATAAATCAAATTTTTAACCACCTACGAAATCAAGAAAATACAGCTTTGTTAAAACTACAATTTCAATCACCGTCTGTGGGGATTGAAGCCACGACCACGTGGTTAAAAGCCACGCGCTCTACCACTAAGCTAAGAAGGCCTACTCAATAATATGCATGTATAGTTGAGGAGAGGATATTGGATATAAACCAATATATAAATTGTTTGGAAGAATTTATTTTAGAGATTATGACATATTTTAAGTTGAAACCAAGCTATAACTTCTATTTGGTAAAATAAAGAAAGTTTTAAATAATAGTTTACGTTGAAACGCTACCCAAAGTAGCATTTAAAATGAGATGAAAATTGAATTTTCAACTACTTACGAGCGGGTTTATGGGTATATAAATGAAAATTTTAACCACTTATGGATTCAACAAATATACAAATATGACAAAATTAATATAAATCAAATTTGTAACCACTTACGAGATCAAGAAAATACAACTTTGTTAAACCTACAATTTCAATCACCGTCTGTGGGGATTGAACCCACGACCACGTGGTTAAAAGCCACACGCTGTACCACTGAGCTAAGAAGGCCTACTCAATAATATGCATGTATAGTTGAGGAGAGGATATTGGATATAAACCAATATATATCTTGTTTGGAAGAATTTATTTTAGAGATTATGACATATTTTAAGTTGAAACCAAGCTATAACTTCTATTTGGTAAAATAAATAAAGTTTAAAATTATAGTTTTCTTTGAAACGCTACCCAAAGTTGCATTTAAAATGAGATGAAAATTGAATTTTCAACTACTTACGAGCGGGTTCATGGGTATATAAACGAAAATTTTAACCACTTATGGATTCAACAAATATACAATTATGACAAAATTAATATAAATCAAATTTTTAACCACTTACGAGATCAAGAAAATACAACTTCGTTAAACCTACAATTTCAATCACCGTCTACGGGATCGAACCCACGACCACGTGGTTAAAAGCCACGCGCTCTACCACTGAGCTAAGATGGCCTACTCAATAATATGCATATATAGTTTAGGAGAGGATATTGGATATAATCCAATATTTCCTTGTTGGTAGAATTTATTTTAGAGATTATGACATATTTTAAGTTGAATCCATGCTATAACTTCTATTTGGTAAAACAAAGAAAGTTTAAAATACTAGTTAATTTTGAAACGCTACCCTAAGTAGCATTTAAATTGAGATGAAAATTGAATTTTCAACTACTTACGAGAGGGTTTATGGGTATATAAATAAAAATTTTAACCACTTATGGATTCAACAAATTTAGAAATATGACAAAATTAGTATGAATCAAATTTTTAACCACTTACGAGACGATGAAAATACAACTTTGATAATGTTACAATTTCATTCACCGTCTGTGGGGATCAAACCAACAACCACGTAATTAAAAGCCACGCGCTCTACCACTGAGCTAAGAAGGCCAACTCAATTATATACATGTATAATCTGAGATAGGATATTGGATATAAACCAATATTTATCTTGTTTGGAAGAATTTATTTTAGGGGTTATGACATATTTTAAGTTGAAACCATGCTATAACTTCTATTTGGTAAAACAATGAAAGTTTTAAATAATAGTTTATTTTGAAACGCTACCCAAAGTAGCATTTAAAATGAGATGAAAATTAAATTTTCAACTACTTACGAGCGGGTTTATGTGTATATAAATGAAAATTTTAGCCACTTATGGATTCAAGAAATATACAAATATGAAAAAATTTATATAAATCAAATTTTTAACCACCTACGAAATCAAGAAAATACAGCTTTGTTAAAACTACAATTTCAATCACCGTCTGTGGGGATTGAAGCCACGACCACGTGGTTAAAAGCCACGCGCTCTACCACTAAGCTAAGAAGGCCTACTCAATAATATGCATGTATAGTTGAGGAGAGGATATTGGATATAAACCAATATATAAATTGTTTGGAAGAATTTATTTAGAGATTATGACATATTTTAAGTTGAAACCAAGCTATAACTTCTATTTGGTAAAATAAAGAAAGTTTTAAATAATAGTTTACGTTGAAACGCTACCCAAAGTAGCATTTAAAATGAGATGAAAATTGAATTTTCAACTACTTACGAGCGGGTTTATGGGTATATAAATGAAAATTTTAACCACTTATGGATTCAACAAATATACAAAATATGACAAAATTAATATAAATCAAATTTGTATCCACTTACGAGATCAAGAAAATACAACTTTGTTAAACCTACAATTTCAATCACCGTCTGTGGGGATTGAACCCACGACCACGTGGTTAAAAGCCACACGCTGTACCACTGAGCTAAGAAGGCCCTACTCAATAATATGCATGTATAGTTGAGGAGAGGATATTGGATATAAACCAATATATATCTTGTTTGGAAGAATTTATTTTAGAGATTATGACATATTTTAAGTTGAAACCAAGCTATAACTTCTATTTGGTAAAATAAAGAAAGTTTAAAATTATAGTTTACTTTGAAACTCTACCCAAAGTTGCATTTAAAATGAGATGAAATTGAATTTTCAACTACTTACGAGCGGGTTTATGGGTATATAAATGAAAATTTTAACCACTTATGGATTCAACAAATATACAAATATGACAAAATTAATATAAATCAAATTTTTAACCACTTACGAGATCAAGAAAATACAACTACGTTAAACCTACAATTTCAATCACCGTCTGTGGGGATCGAACCCACGACCACGTGGTTAAAAGCCACGCGCTCTACCACTGAGCTAAGAAGGCCTACTCAATAATATGCATATATAGTTTAGGAGAGGATATTGGATATAATCCAATATTACCTTGTTTGGTAGAATTTATTTTAGAGAATATGACATATTTTAAGTTGAATCCATGCTATAACTTCTATTTGG